AGTTTCTGCATTCCTACAAATAAGAGATTGGTAATAATGGAATTCTACCAATTTCCTATACCTGCATTTTGTTAGCTAATTACCAACTTAAAGAATTAGTCTATCAATTTCTTGTAGCATCTTTTCTCTTTTTTTTGGTTGGGGGCAGAGGGGGAGAGGCGTACCTTAGCATCAATTTTTAAGTGATGCCCAGAAACGTACAATTCCGGAGCAATTAATTCACATCAAGTCTCAGCAGACAAACCAGTTAACTGTATAATAGGACCAGAATTCTTTTTCCTAAATTATTAGGATAAAAAGCTGCCAACAGGGCCTAATGTTGCTTAAGATTAGATATGCTGTAAGGTCTATAATAAAAAATGGAAGTTTAAACCTTCTACAAGCTGACTTACCAAGGATACAAGCGACTCATAGGCCGGACGAAAAACTTGTAGCCTCCGATTTCTCTCCGCTTCAATGGATGCTTCATTATCAAATGAAATATAAGAATCCCTGATAAATTAGAAACATTATATCCAAAGATTTTTTTGTGTCAAACTTTATGTCAGTGACAACCTAGAAAGTTCAGTAAAGATCCAGAAGGAATAACCTTCTTGTCAAGGTAACCTGAAGACTGTGCCAAAAGTTAAAGGTCATCGATGCAATGTCATATTCTGGGTGTGAAGCAACTTCCAGGAGTGCATGGACTATCAGCATTGATTCATCAGAACCTGAAAAGGAAAGTCACTTACTGAAAAGGAAGAAGATATGCAAAAATAAGTAGAGGATCAAATTTTTTTAGGAAAAAAAAACAAATAAAATTTTCAGTTTTCAAGATCAACTTTTCAGTTTCCTAAAAAATGATCAATTTTTGAGAAAGTGAAGATATGCACCAGTTGCAATAAGTTCAACATATGAATCACCCATGTCAGCAAATAATCGAGCAATAGCCTTGATATCTTCCTCATCCTGAATTGAAAAATGAATATAAATGGGGAGAAAGAACAAAATAACTTTGCAATAATTCTAGGTCGGAAACTACATGCAAACATTACTTTAAAGAGACTGGTAGTTCAAAATATTTCAAATAATATAGAAAATATGATATTCTAATTGTAATTGGCATAGCATACACCTGAATTGCTGTGACATTTTAGAATTAAATATAAAAAACCTTGTTCCTCCAAATATCAACATTCCTTAAAAAAATTAGTCAAACTCGTGGGTTATTGGCTCATATATCAGATATTAAGCTAATAAGATTAGATACTACACTTGTGATAAGCTAAAAGGCTGAGAAAAGTACTGACTATCAAGAAAGACTTACTAAGCATATATGTATTAGCAATATATCAATGCTTATGCATGTGGCAACCTTGGACCATGGCATGATCAGTTTAAATAAATGGTTTTTTCCTTTGCAATTCAAAGCCTAAGCCAATGGTGCCAACTCAAGTCCAAGAACGAAATATGATTATTGAAATGTACCATTCTGATGCTTCAATCAAAGAATATTTGGATTACGTTACAGATCATATTCTCGTTCATTGGTATAACCAAGACATCTAGAAACAGGAAATGCTTCAATACCTTTGAAGAATCCTTAAGATGTGCCTTCAGACTCATGACTTGAGGTGCAATTACTTGAATTAAGGGCATCTGCACAGGAGCTCCACCAGAGCTAGGTGTTGCCGCATAGTGTATCAATTCTGAAACAACTGCCACAACATACCAGAAAATTCCCGAAAATTGATTAAGACAAAATCCAGTGCAGAATCATACCTAGTTATTGAAGTATTGGAAAAAAACCACGAAGAAAAAATGAAGATTTATTCAATTACAAAAAACTTCGATACTCCACTCATACTTAAATTAGACCCAGATTCTATACAAAGAGAGAGATGCTTGATAGTATATGAACTGTTCCTGCCAAATAATCATCATAAGGGCAAAATATATTTATGTTTTTCAATAAATTTCTGAGACAGGTTACATGCTTAAGAAATAAGAGTATTAAATCGACTTCCAGTACACAAAAAAGTATCTACAATATTTGAATTGTACTTGACAACTGAAGGAAAGGGGGTTAACCTGGTTGAATGGGACCAAACACAAAATACAGTTGGAAGTGAATCTGCAGTATATATATCCCAAGGCCAAACAAATTCATAATTTTTTTAACAAAAAAATATGAGGACAAAGACTATGTATCAACTTGATATTGATACATCCAGTTCTTGTCTCTTCAAACTTAAAGAAAACAGAATATCACACAGAAACCATCAGGAGCGTCATCAAGTCATTCTAATACAGTAAGAGAAGTGCCATAATATCTTGCAGTACAGCTCCTGAGGAACATTAGCCTGTAACATGAGCAATACCATTCACAGAAGCCTCGGAGAGCGGATCAGAATTCAAGCTTGAGAGAGCTGTAAGGACAAGCGGATGAGAAGCAAGCACAGATCCAGGTATCCTGAAACAATAAACTTTCAAATCAGTTACTAGCTAATTCATCCTTGGCCACATCAAATTTCAGATCTGACTTTATGCAGAGGTCTATTGAGCCCCACTAACATAATAAATTTTAAAAAATAGCAACCAGCATTTGGAAATTAATGGAG